GCAAGTCCATCAGCATATTATGGGAACCTCTTTTAGCTGATTCTCAGATAATTAATAGAAGCATTTAGGATGAATACTTATCTCTGTACTTACATGGCACTCATCATCACTGTATTCAAGTGACTTCCAATAATTTAAAAATAGAAATATATTTATAACATTCTCTTTCTTTCTTCCTTTTCAGCCTCTTGGAGAAATAGCTTGATCTGTTCATTTTTATTTTGAAAGTGCTAAAACCTTATTGAGGGAAAGGCAAATCAAAGATTAGTTTTGCATTTATTTCTGATGGAAGTGCATTTAGTGATCATGACACTTGCTGTGGGCAACCATGATCACAGAAGAATAGGTTATCAGTCACGGTTCATTTGTGAACACCACATGCCCACAAGTGAGCATATATTAGTACAAGTAATCTTAATAAATGGAAATCTTTAGGAAATCCCAAACAGTACGAAGTACAGTTGTTTTTTTGCTTAGTAGGGTAACTGTGAGTCCAACACCTTGCACTTTAACAAACTGGTGGTTATTGACATAAAGAACCCTCTGATTTCACTTTATATGAGCTGGAATACCAGCACTGCTGAAACATTGAGTTGGATTCTGTATTCACTTGAAACCCATTTGAAGATAAAGCAAAAGGGCTATTTTGCAAAGCAAATAGCTCCTGTATATTTTACCATTCCTGAACTCTGAATGTGTCATGCTACATTCCACATACAGTGAGTTCCAGATAAGCCATTGCCAGCTAAATTCTGAATGCAGAGATTACTCTGGCCAGATATGAGATGGATAGGAATTAATGCAAAATTTTGGCCAGTTGCAGATGAAAATGAGTAATTTTGCCACCACAGGATGCCTCCAGATGAGTGCACGTGTGTTTCGTGGTACCTCAAAGCTCTTTCAGGTGCCACAAACCGTACATGGTGCACATGCACCTGTTCACTGGGCTAATTTGCAACGTGGCACCAAAATCTGACACTGGGGCATCCTGGTGTCAAAAAAAAACAAAACAAAAAAAAATTGCTAAAAAAAGTTGTGAGAGACATATGGCAGCAGTGTGTGCTGCCAGAAATGGAGCCTGGCTGGCCAGAACAATGCTCTGAATACTGGACAGACTCGAGTGGCCAGATCAGCGCTGCTGCTGCCCCGGGAGCCCCTTGAGACCCCAAGTAAGGCTGCTGGATCCAGCATAGATGCTGCCCATCTTCTCCCACCCTACCCGGGACAATTTGCCCCACACCAAACCCCACGTTCAGAGGCATGCTCAGTGGCAAAAAGCAGGGGCACAAATTTGAGCTGCTGCTATTTTGGCATGGAAAACATATGCCCCTGCATGTGGGGATGTGCTTACAGTTTTTTGAGTATCTGATAGTATGGAGGAATCCAAAATGAAGCAATGTAGCCTGGAAGTGGTGAGCAGATGTCAGCAGAAATAATGTGGCAAGATGTCAAATCAATATTAATTTTCTCAAAGAAAACTGTGACGCTGGTCAGCTGCTGTTTACTTAGTGATTTCTTTGAGATACATTTATCAATCCCTAGTCATTTACTGTTCTATAAAAAGGAGTTAATCATGAGATTTCACTGAGATGGTTAGCAGTAGCTGATGAACAGTTGAGAGCAATCAGCAAAATAAGGGAATTCTTCCCCCTTTTAAAAAAAGTATATGGTAGGAATTTCTCTTGTATAAGTTTCCAGAAAAGTTGCACAAAGCACAGGAAAGATGGTCCCTGTCCCCATAAAGGTATTTCTTTTCCAACATATCAGTTATTCATGTGATGTCCTTCTTTTCTCTTCTTCAAACAGACTACCTATATTGTTTTAGGAATACTGTGTACAAAGTCAGAGGTGAGTTCCTTTGAAACTGATTTTGCTTCTAGTTGTAAACAAAATGGACAGGAATAACTAAATGGACTTTGTGTAAAAATTGACTGAGAGTTAAACTGAACAGAAACCAAATCTTTCTAAAGCTAGAAAACATTCAATCAGCTCCTTTTATCTTCATGTCACTTCACGTCCCCTTCCAGGCACAATCAAAACCAAGATGTATAAATAAGAAAAACACAGTTCTTACTATATTCTCACCTAGAACCAACAGACACCAAATAAAAACTCTCAATGTCTTGTCCTAGTTAGATTTTTCCACCAGAGCTAGATTAGGGTTAAGTACAGATGTTCAAAAAGCCTGAGGCAGAAATGATGTGGTTTTCTGTATGCAACCTAGGTTAGATTGGTAGCGAACAGTATACACATTTGCCCTTTGGCAAGGGGGGCACACAGGCTTCCTGCACTGGATGAGGCCTGCAGGTTGGGGGCACTGTAGCTGTGAGCCACATAAGTCTTGCAGTACCCCAGGTGCCTATGGCCCAGATATCTGCTGTCTGTGGTGGAGCTGTGGAGGTCATAGGGTTGCCTCCATCCAGGCCTGGTCCTGATGGGTCTGTCTCCCTGCCCACCAGAGGCGAGTCACCACGCTGGCTTCTGCTCAGAGAGGGGTCCATGTTGGGCTCTGGGTGGAAGGGTACCTGGCTATCGCCACTGACTGGGAGACAGAGTCAGGCTCTGTGGGGTTGTGCCCAAGTACAGATGTGGTCCCTGGCTGGGTGTGCAGGAGCCAGGGTCAGGCTCTGTGGGACTGTGCCTGAGTGTGGGCTCAATGTCAGGTGTGTGTGTACACACCGTGGGGTGCTTTGTGATGAGGTGCAGAGGTCCCAAGGTACCAGGGCTTGTGCAGGGGACACAGAGGTCTCCCTTCCTCCCCAACTGCCTCTCTGTGACTGACAGATGGCCGAAGGCAGGGCTGAGGAGAAGGTCTGTGCTAGCTTGGCTCTGGGAGAACTTGGGGACTGGGTCTGCTGGGTGTTTGGCCATAGCAGTACAGGTCGAGTTCTAGCACACCTCCCTGTGAGGGTGGGTTGCAGGGGGCCACGTAAGAGGGTGGCATGCCAGAGGACAGCGATTTAACTTGAAATTAGAGGGGTCTGGTAAAGAAGTTCGATTCACTGGCTTAACCTAAATCAATTAGATTTGAGTATACTTCAAACCAGGTCTATCTTAGACTGGGTTCCACCAATTTTAGGCCAGTCTATGTGTGCTGACCTTGTGTATACTTACAGGTTTTGACTGATTTCCAAAGACTTGCACTGGTTTATATGTAATGTCTGTACCTGGCCTAAGTTAGAGAAAACATCAGATAAGCATCCATACTTAATAAATTCCCTCAATTCAGTCATGAATAATATGCAGGCCTACATTAGGTAGGCCAGTGGGTACAATCTTTATTTTTGTGATGCTATTAAAATTTACAGATTGAATCTGTTGCTTGTTTCTCCCCCCTCCCCTTCCCCCCCCCCCACTTTCCCCTCACATTTCCTCTGACTTATTAACACATTTTTCTCTAACCGGTTCCATTACACTAACAGTAGTAATTGGCCTGGTTTTTCTCTCAGTCGCAGCGGTATAAATCACTTCTACTGAAGTCAGAGGGCATAATCTGGCTACAGTTATATCATGGAAAGTATGCCTCACAACTATATTGCAAGGGCGAAGGGAAGAGGTCTCCAACATTTTCAGAAATCTCAAATCACTAAGTATGTCTTGATACATCCTAAAAAGCTACATATTGCATTTTCAAAACATCTTGCTACTGTGCTATTATTAACAAGATACTGATACCGACTTTAATAAAAGGCATCACACATACAGACAAGCACACACACAAAATGCCAGTTGTCAGGACACACACACACACACACACACACACACACACACTTAATTAACATGGTCTGAACAAACACTATAACCTAGTAAAACAAAATTCCAAGCCAAACAAAAATCTCTTTTGAGTTGATTGCAGTAGCAGTTCAACAACAAATAGCATTGAGAGAGCAATTCTAGTAGTATCTTCTACAATCAACACTTTCACTGGTGTTGATCATCTATTACAACATGCCTATATCTATGATCTCATATTTTCAAAATCTACTATTCTGAAGTTATATCAATTAATTAATAATATTGCCTTATCCCTCCCAAAGGAACCCACATCCTACAAAATGTTCCCCCTTTTCTTTTTCAGAACAAAACAAACAGCATGGGATTATGTTGCCACAAAGATAAGATAAAGCAACATTCACTTAAGCAAAATGGCGATAATAGTTAACTAGGACAGATAAATTGTACAGCTTTCATCATTATTATATAAAAGTACAAAAAAGTTCTTGCTTTTACCTGTCAGTCTAATACCATACAAGTCAATTTAAATGGTCCATTCATAAATTTTTACCAGAAAGATTATTGTGTATTTTTAAATTCCATGTCAAGGCTGGCAAAACCGCTCTAATGCGCAGAAGAGCTATCTTGTGTAATGCAATTACAGTTGCCGTTTGACCTGCAGCTGCTTCAACTACATTTAAAGTATAAAGCCAGACAGAATTTACTTAACCAAACACAGTCTGCTAAGCAGATGTGCCACTGTGGACAGACGTGATGTACTGTACACTTGAATCTTGTAATGTGACGGTATTGCTATTCTGTGCAATGCTTTCCAAGGCACCCTTAGGCAGGCTTCCATTGCTAACAAGCTGATAACCTTCACTTAGATCTTCTATTAGAAGTGTATTAAATAAATAAATGTGATGGTCTTATGTCACCACTACAGTAAGTTCAGCCTACAAACTTTACATCTTCTGAGCCACAAGATGTATAACACCTCTACATCATAAATGCAGCAGCTCTATGATTAAAGCAGGGGATAGAAAAAACAACCCAAAAACAAAAACAAAAAAACCCACCTTATTTTCATTTTTTAAACTACCAGAGTTTTGATCTTAGCATGTATATAATGTCTTAGAACATTGCTACTGTTAAGTTAATCAGCTCATCTAGTACCTCTGCTGCACACAGATGCATATGCTCACCTATCACCTGTTGTACTTTCTATATGAAACCACTGTATTGAAATGTAAATGCAGTAATAGTTTACTGAACATGCTTCTGACCTCTTATTCTCCCTTACTGCTTTGTCTCCTTTCTTCCAGGTGATAGTTGGTTTTGGAGAGGCTTGTGGTTTGCACTCAATGACAACTTCTTGGCCCCTGGTAACAATTATTGTTTTCTTCATTTGATTTAGTGGAAAAGTGGGAGCTGAAGCTGTTAAAAAGAAAAGTGTTAGTTTTAGAAAAAACAATCAGAGCCTTCTAGATCAATAAACCCTAACAGAGAGTTTATCATCCATTTTCATTTATTTTGGTTTGGAAATTACTGTATTAAAGAGCATATGACATTTGTACAGAAGCACCATTAAAACATCATCCAAATCTAGATAGAATAAACTAGAATTTAATCAATATATCAAATAGTAAGAAATCACTCTTATCAACACTGTCAGGTTATATTACTTGTGATATCCTGAGGTGCTTGAGAAAATCTACAATGAAATTAACTGTTTTTAGAGACAATGGCCCAAACTCTCAGGCTTTCTTAAATTCCACAGTCCCTCATATCTGTTAATTCTTGACTTGCCTATTTGTTTCCTTATAGTATCTCAAAAGCCAGGTATTTAAAATTGAGAATTTAATAGGAAGGATTAAAATATTTAAGACTTCATTCATTTTCAAAGTGTCTACAGTTTAGACTAGAAAAAAATCAAGTCAATTGTTTATGCCATACTGGGACCGAACCAAAATCAAATCTTTTCTGAGACTCAAAAAGTCTGACTGACTCTTTTAAAGTTATTTTTCTATCATGTACCTCATATGGTTTGATACTAAGCAGGGTCATGGAAGCAGAATGGTTGGAAAAGCCTGAGAGAATATTTATGATCCGTCGTGAATAAAAACTAATACAAATACCCTGAATCAGCTTATTTTCATGGATCACCAAACCTAAAACGACTTACCCACATGCATGATTCCAATGACTTCACTGAAACTTCTCATAGGACTAAGGGTCTGCAGGAACAATAGTGGATTTACTTGAATCCAAGATACGTTTCTCCCCTCTCCCCCATTTAACCTAGGGAAAAACGGCCATCATCTTGGATTCAAACATAAGGTGGCAGGGAGCCGTGGTTACTACAGTTCCAACTCCAGCCTTGAACTAGGGCCCTACGATAATTAGATTTTATATCTGTAAACAATGACAAATTTATACAATTTCGATGTATAAAATCTATTTATGGGGCAGTCACCTTAAATTTAGAGTCATCTTGGATTAAGGTAAATCTGGTACTTTAAGTTTCTAACCTATAGTTTGGTAGTGTAAGAGGGATGTTGTAGCTGTGGTGGTCCAGAAATTATGCAAGAGGCAAGGGCTTCCTAACAGATATCACCCTAAGAAACCCTTGCCTAACCCATATTTTGAAATGTACAGTGTTTGTATAACCAATGACCTCTTATCATACACAGATAACTTTACAAGTGAACCCTACATCTATTTAGGGCTTTTTTTTTTTTGGAAGTATTAGGAACCAAGTGAACTTTGGCTACATATTTCAACCAAAACCTTAACATTCTTTCATCCCTAATAGCCCTGTGGGGGGATTTAAAAACAGCCTTCAACCACATGAAGGGTAGTTACAAAGAGGATGGAGCTACACTGTTCTCAGTGGTGGCAGACAACAGCACAAGGAGCAATGGTCTCAAGTTGCAGCAAGGGAAGTTTAAATTTGATATTAGGAAAAACTGTCTCATTAGGAAGATAGTAAAGGACTGGAAAAGGTTACTCAGAGGGACTGTAGAATCTCCATCTTTAGAGGTTTCTAAGACCCAGTTAGACAAAACCTTGGCTGGGATGGTCCTGCCTTGAGCAGGGGGTTGGACTAGATGACCTCCTGAGGTGCCTTCCAACTCTAACTGTCTATGATTCTATGATATCACCATGTTTCTGTTCAATGCTAGAAGTGTAGTACTGATAAAAGTGTCAAGGGCCTATTATCTTGACAGTTTGTTTTATTTTGTATCTTGTAAGTATGTAATATCACCCATACATATTTCCTAATAAACTCTAATTTGGGCATTATAACTTAAAATAGGAAAGTACTAATGCTTGTGCCTTCATGAGGTGACTTTAAAGGGACTGCTAATATGTTGCAAACTAATCACATCATTAAGGGCATTTCTAAAAGAGAATGGGATACAACGGTGCAGAAAAACAGATTTTAATAGTGTAATCCATGAAATGTGAGATTTCTTTTTCTTGTCTTGAAATATTCTCATGTTCTTCATAGTAAGAGGTTTTTGTTCTTAGGACTGGTTTTTTTGGAAAGAAAAGAGGATTTTTCTGTGCTTTTGAACAGACCATTATCATTTCCCTCATAGATATTGTCCCAGATACAGGATTTGGCCTTGAGTAAGAAAAATTCACAAAGCATAACTAAATGAGTAGCTTCAAAAAGAAAACACCGTGTTAGCAAAAGTACTCTTGAACTCCTAGGTAACCAAGGAGCCATTTACACATAAATAAAAGAAAGGGAAAAGAAAAACTCAGCCAAATTTAATTATATCATTTTTATCCACTTCTGCTAAGGTTGGAGAGATGGGATCTCTTTCTTTCTCATGACAGATCATAGAGCCATGTAATTATCAAAGAGAAAATAGAGAACAATTCTATTCTGTTCAGACATTACTCACCCAAAATCTTCAACTCAGCACTGGCATAAATGGTTCCATATTTATTTTCTGCTAAGCATTGGTACATTCCAGCATCTGAGAGATTCACACTGTGGATCATCAGTACACCATTAACCATCTCAACCCTGCTCTGTAATGGAATAAAAAAATAATTCTACAAAAGAAAACAAATGAGGTGGATTTTCTGGGTTGTTAGCTTTACACAAAGAAATAAAACATAAATGTGGTTAAAGTATAATTTAGCGACTTATGAGAGTGAATTTTGGGGGGTTTACTATCCATGCCAAATGCAACATATTTTGGAGTCTGAAAAATATCACAAAATATAGATTTTCCTCTGGATTACTTTATTTGATTGTAAATAATATATCCTCCAGCATGGCTTTATTTGCTTATATTTAACTGCACTTATTTGCCCTTTATAAATTGTTCAGCAAAGATGACTCTGCAAACTTGAAATAGCGTGCAAGTGTTCCAGGCAAGGAACCAAGGTTCAAGTAGAGGCTGAAGTATTTTGGGGTGGGCTCAATCTAATTCAGAATGAATCTTTGTTTACATACCAAAGCACATACAGCCTAACATTATTAGTTCTCATACATAATCTCATTGGCATCGATAGCACTATTTTCATTCAGAGCTACTCATGTGGTAAAGGGTGGAAGGATCAAGTTGTCTTTGTCAATAATGGCAACTTATCATCTCAAAAGGCCTATTAATAGAAAATAATTGCTGCAGGTCAGAAGTGAATTGCTGCTGACAGCTGTGTAGGG